TGTTTTTTTTTCTTTATTTTATCATTTTATAAAAAATTAACTATTTGTTTTTATTCGTTTTTTTATCGTTTTATAAAAAATTATTGATTTTTATTTACATTTTTTTAATAAAAACAATCTGAAATATTTCACTTTTGTTACACTGCACCCAGCAGTAGCTTGAGGCTATTAATAGGAAACCTACGAATACAAAAAGAAGTGCAATGTCACCCATCTCCCCACAGTGTGCTGCGGTCGACATAAGTAAAAGTACGAGTAAAAGAAGATAGAATAGTCCAGAAATGTCTGGAAATATTATTCCTTGTCAAGAAAAATATGGACAGCAAACTATATAAGTCGAGGATCCTGATGTCAGTTTTAATACACGTAATACGTTAATGTTATCAGTTGAATAGTTATTGTCTTATTGGAAAAGTTGAGTTGAAATAAATTGAGATGCCAAAAACCTGCGCAACACTTTTTTGATAGAGCCCCCCCTTGCGGTTCTATAGTTCTCTAAGACCCCTTCCGTAAAAAATTCTGGCTACGCCACTGCTTGTAGTACTTCGTTAAAATACTCATGGGTACTTGACAACGAGTAACTTCACAAAGTACTCATAAGTATCTAAGTATGAGTACTTATATGAATAATACCCAAAGCAAATGAGTATTTTGCAAATTTTCGAGAGTACTCGTGACAAAATCGAGCAACAAATATGAGTACCTTATCTATTTTAAATTTCAATTTTTTCAATTTTCAATTTATTCAGTTTAAATACATTACAATATTCTATACAATGTTAAATGACATGATAGAATACAAATATTAAATACAAATGGAAGTCAGACGAACGCAGCATCACATTAGGCTTGAAAGTGAACTGCATTGCATGACTCTAAACTGTCTATAGAATAAGCATTCCTAACTTATATAATGAATATAGTGTATAGAAGTTAAGACAAAAATTACAAAATTTAAAAATAAACAAATTTTCAGTTTTTTCTTGTGCTTCTTTTTGTTGCTAAGAAAATACTGTGCAAGTCGCCCAAGAGTAGTACATTTCAAGAATAAAGAGGAATATTATTCTCAAGATCAAGATGGTTAAGGGATGTTAAATATATCTGCATTTTTTTGTATAAGTTTTAAAAAAAATAAATTTTGTTGTTAGTTTTAGGCTTTTTGAAAGTTTGTTAAATAATTTAGGTCCATAGTACATAAAGGAATATTGGGTAACAATTCTAGTTATTGACTTAGATTTAGAAAAAAAAAAGAATTATAATAATTAGTAATAGTAAGCCAGTAAGAAAGAAACAAAAAGAGAGTATCACTTATCTTCTATAAATTATAAATTTAATGTAAATTTAATGTTAAAATAAAGTAATACAGCAGTACCCAGACAGCACACCAAATCCTTTGGATATCTACTGGACATCCCAATATCCACTGAATGTCCATTCCATGGTGGATATCTATTTTATATCCATGAGAAGTAATTTATAGACATGCAAATGTCCATAAATAATAGTAATTATATAGCAAATTATTAAAAAATTACGCCATTGTGCTCGCCATTGTGGCTAATAGTACCGTTCAGATATTTAAAATAAATTTTTTTAAGGTGTATTCAATATCCCATGGACATCCACTCACGGAAAAATGCGACTAGAAAATTTTATATGTTGTAGTAGTAGACTTGTAGAAAAATACTTAACTTTTTGTAGAAAATTTTACTACAATTTATAGTTAAAAACTATTCATTATTGTAGCAATTGAATTGTCGAATAAAATGCTACAACAATAGGAAAGAAGTCCACAATGTTTAGTATATTTTACTATTGTTTGTAGAAGAAATTTATTACAATTATCGTAATTACTTCTACTAACTTCTGTAAAAATTTGTACAAATATTAATAATTATCTCTACAAAAAATAGTAATTTTCTCTACAAAAAATAGTAATACTTTACATCCCTTCTTATGAAAAAAATTCAATTTTGTTCAAAAATATTCTATAATATTGTAGACATTCTAAGTCATGTGAATAAAACAGAATTCTGCTATTGGCCAACGTTTTCTCACGTCGATCATAAAGGACCAGACAGCAGTAGCCGTTCGCCATGTTCACAAAACAAAGCATGGTACATATACGAGTCCCTATAACACATTATTATATTATAAGCACCGATGGGTTTGAGAAAATTTTAATAATAACTTCTATTAGTGGTAAGTACATTTATTATTGTTTCTGAATAATTTACCTTTAGATAACTAATTTAAATAACCTAGTAGATTATTTAAAAAAAAAATAGTTGTGGTCAACGATCGAATGTTGTGCCCAACAATCCAATGTTGTGCCAAGTTCAATGATGTTTTTTTGTCTTAATTATAACATACCTCATTTTTGTTAGTTATCTGACTTAGCCATTTAATATCCAAATCAGTGTAAAGGTGATAAATATCCCCGTTTTAGTTCAATAGGTATTAATTTTTATTTCATATTTTTCAGGTGCAGAAAAGTCAACTGAGACTGAGGGCGCTATTATTACTGTTATTTATTACATAATGTAATTAAGCCTTTGTATCTTTTATATTAAAACAATAAATTGAATATTTTATTAAGGAACATTTTTTCTAGGTTATAATTATAATAAGTATAAAACACTACTACAAATTTTATTAAAAATTACTACAATTTGTATGAATTTTTACTATTTATTGTGTAAAATTTTCGTATTTATTTTCATAAAACGCAATAGATTTTTAATATAAATTCATACAATGAATAGCAAAAATTATAACAATTTGTAGAACAATTCTTATGATGCATTTGGATATTTTTACTAAATATTGTAGATATTAACTCTACAATACATTCTCTACAAATATTTGGAAATTTTTACTACAAATTGTCCCTGTCCCTATATGTACTATTTATTGTAGAGAAAAAATGTATAATTGTAGAAATTTGTCCTACATTTTTTTCCGTGTAAATATATCAAAGTCTAGACGCGAACGCAAACCATGGTGGATATCCACTAGATGTAATTTTTGATTTTGCTTACTAAGTATAGATGGCGATACCACTTTCGCTCGTTGAATATCTACTCGTACTCAACCCGCCGTAACTGATTTAGATCGAAATTGGTATCCCAATCAGACTCCATTAGAGACTGAAGTCGAGAATTTCCATTTATTGCTGAAGAGTCCTAATAAGGGTGACTTTCTCCTTAGTGGGAAAAATTAAAGGCAGAGTGTTGAAAATATTTTGAGTGCTATTTCCTTTCGACGTTATTCAATAATCATTGGTTACTTATGAACCTCTACTAAAGATACCCATAAAATATTTTGCTGAATATCCGAATATCTTTTATATCCTGGGATATAGACGGAAATTTGGATATCCATATTAGATCCACTAGATATATTGGATATCCACAAAATATATTCTGTGGATATCTCTGGGATTTCTTGTATTGTCTGGAAGATACCCATTAGATATTTTGCTGGATATCCATAGGATATCTTCTATATTCTGGATATATACGGACATTTGGATATCCATACTAGATCCACGGGATATTTCTGATATTCTGTGGATATCTCTGGGATTTGGTGTATTGTCTGGGCATCTATCTAGTAGGTATCACTATTGCATACAAAAATTCTTAGTTCCACATATTGTGCAAATTAATAATAACAACACAGTGAGGGAATAAGTTGGCCGAGAGGTTAGAGTCATGACTTTGAGATCTTAATTCGAATTGCGTCGGTGATAGGATTTTTATTTAATTTACCTAATTAAATATAATGAATGGGATTCCCTGCTCGACAATTCACTGTTGGGTTCTAATAAGTAGTGCTGTTCCTAAAGTGGCGCTGGGAAACAGTAATAACGCCTACACAAAACACGATACTAATACCTAACCATAGCAGATGATGCTGATGACACACAAAAAAAAATTAAAATAAATTATTTTACAAATTGTCTCAAATCAAAGCTTAGAGATGCTACACTTACGTCTTACACTGTTGCCAAATTGCACAAAAACTTTACTGTCAAAAATACAGGAATTCATTTCGAATAATTCTCCTTGCCCAAACAATATTTTATAATAACTATTGATGTTGTTTTACCCACTTCCTTTCCCGTAAAATTGATAATAATAATTGAGAAAACAGCAAAGTTTAATTCAAAACATTATATGTGCCTTTAGTATTAATTATTTGCAGAAGAAATAGAACTTAATTTTTTGTTTACAATAGCAATACCTACCTGTTGTTTTTCCGTAATCGAAAAGAACTTAAACTAGACATTAACCGTTACTTTAAACGTAGCTTACGGAAAAAATATACTTCCTGGTCAAATTTTAATATTGAAAACCGTTCATGAAGTGGGAATGGAGCTTTTTTAAAATGCCCGAAAAATAACCTTTTGATTTTGATATCTAAACCACTTGGACTTATTGACTTGCCTACGAATTTTCTTTAAAACTAAACATACCTACCTATTTACAAGTGCTATTTCCTATTCCTACATAACCTAGATACTTCTACAACTACCATAGGAAAATAATAGTGAAACACAACATACTTTAAAATATTGTTTAGTTTTTCTAAAAGTTAGCTTCAAAATAATATATCTAGATTTTTTTTATCAAAAGAACAATATTTTGTAAAATACTTAAATAGGTACCACGCGACATAGCGATAAAGTTAAAATGAATATTTTTTAATATAGTATTTTTTTTGTAAACGGTTCCCGATATACCTATGGCCAGACGCCAAACTTAATTATATTTAAATACCATTTATTTATTTTTATTTATCCCATAGAAACATAGGTACCTAGTTGAATGTTGAATACCTATAAAATTGTACTGCCTTGATTTAATATTTTAACTGATTAATCGTTTAATTTATTGAATGATTTTTTTATGCTTAAGTTGGTCAAATCTATGTCTAGGTCATGGATGCAAATTTATAAGAACACTTTCACTCTTAAATCTATATTTTTGACTCACCTGTTGATAGGGATTGTAACCTGGGTAACTCATCTTTTCTGCAAAAAACAATTTAATAAATACAACGGTCAAACAAAATTAGATTATTAAACTATTTTATTAGAAAAATTTCTTATTACTAGACCGGTACCTAATTGTTTTTATTTTAATACGCTTTAAGCCACACCTCTTTAGCGCTCAACGTTCAGTCTTAAATACTCATACAAATTAATAATCTTACTATTCAGCGACTTACTTTATATTATGTTGTTTTCAAACAGAACAAATGATAATTTTCTCGATGAGTAATAATTTATTTTGACGAGCTGTTCTACGTAATTCAATGACGACAGAGATTCTGAATTAACAATAACGTTAACAAAACTATTGGTATACTTAACAAGGTTATGGCACAACGTCGAGTCATGTGTCATGTGAGAGCCGGTGCTGCTTTTGATTCGTTGGTTACAGTTCCTCCTGCTGTACAGCAGGATTTCCCCCAGTAGTAGGAGCGGTATTCTAGAAAATTGTTTTCATTTTCTAGTTGTACAAGGTCCGATCCATAACTTTTAACCAAAACAATTTTTTAACGAAATTACAAATGTGATGATTCAATCTTCCTACAAGTATTATCTTTGACATGTATGTCAAAGATAATACTTGATGTATCATAGGAACTTATTCTTTCAATCAGAGCAGAATATGTCTTTAGAAATTAAGGTGAGAACTACGTAAATCATGCTTGCTTAGGTGGATCTTTATGTTTTGTTTAGACATGAGTATTGTTTTATTATAGTTAATTTAAAACAATATTAATAAAACTATTGTTAATACAAAAATTTGTATAAATCCTTTTTTATTACCTATATTTTGTTTCAGATTAGTGCATTTAAAGGAATTGGTGGAAATTAAGTAATTTGTCAGCTTTGGGGCTGTGCCAGTAAAAATAACATAAATTATTCAACGTTTCCAGGATACAGTATTAAGGAACTTCGTCGATGCATCCTGGTACTGCCGTAATACTGATCTTCATAGGGACCTTAAAGTGGAGACTGTTGAAAATACAATACACAAATTTGCCAGTAGTCACTTAATAGATGTGTTTTAAAGTTTAAGGGTGTCATTAATTTGACATCTAAGCATGCGCATCTAAAGTTTTTAACAAGGAATACCATAATTAAATACTGCCTTCCTTTATTTGTACTGAAATACTGCATGTACTTAAGGTTAATTTATTTGCTTTATTTCGACAAAATAACTTATTTTATATTAATAGAACACAAAACAGTGTCCCCTGTATTTCGATTTAGATGTTTTTAGCAGTTTTTAGTTTTCTATATTAATAAAACACAAAACATTATCCAGTGTATTTCTATTTAGACGTTTTTAGCAGCTTTTAGTTTTCTATCAGGCACTTACTTTAGTTTTTGGTATTTTCTTTAAGTTTTTGGAAACCTTAATATAAGTTATTCATCCCAAAAATTGTCTACATCGTCATTTGCATCCTCCAATATGGTGAACAATTCATGCATTTTTACACTACTTTTCAGTTAGTAGTGTTTTGGAAAGTTTATAATAAAGTCTAAATCGAACTTTAATACATTTTCTAGGTTACAATGTTCAAACAAATACCAATTTCAAAATTTTGAACTTCCAATAATTAAAATTTCAAATACGAATTAAGAGCAAATCGAATACCTTAAAACTTTATAATTCCTTCTGAAATTTTATTTTTAGTCTGATTTTTGTGAAATTTTCAGAAAATACCAATAACAAAACTGAGGGTAAAAAAAACATTGTTTTTTGTAACGCTTCGAAAATTATTTGTGATAATTTTTAAAGAAATTTAAAATAAAAAATACGCGTCATTCTATATTAAATACATGAAAATTTGCTGCTACATTTTTAATAATTATTTAGTAGTTTTATATTGGGAGGGTTTCCACACCTTTTTTCTTAAATGTCTTTGTAGCGTGCTGCCTTATCGTTAAAGATTTCACTATTCTAGTGACACATAATGTCGTGCAACCACTTAAAACTGACCCTGGTCATTTTGCCGTTACAAGCCGTCGCTGCGTCTATGTTTCGACACCGCAAGATAGATAAACGCACTTCTTCGAGAAGGCTGACTCATGGAGGAAGAATTTCCAGAGATTCTATACCGCTGAGAATGTACTCGAGCAGAACTGGCTTTATATAAATAGCGTGACATTATTTAGCAGTGCAGTAACTATTTTTAAATTAAATAATCGTTGCAATAATATAGTGAAGTATTCCCATTTTTCGGCAAAGATATCGAACTAAAATGAATATCTTAAAATATTATTTAATATAATTCCAACTTTCTTGTGGAGAGGTTATTGAATGTTTACGGTTGTAAATGTCTGTTCAATTAGGGGATGTTCCTTTTTTAATAATTTAAGGAGATTTTCTAAAACAATAATTTATAATGAAATACAATAATATACAGATCACTAGGGCAACAATGTGAACACTTCAATTTAATGGGACTGTATGAATGTAGTGTATCATCTTGATAATCTTTGCCACGACGGTTAACAATAGGTAATTTTTAGATAAATTTATTAAAAAAACAGAAAACTATTTTTTTGTTGAAAATACATCCAACATATTACATTATTATATAAGGCTAGCCCTGCCTTTGGTGCCAAACCGATTAGTTAATTGATAAACTATTAACTCTCCAAATAATTTATCCATTTAATCTAATAAGAACCCAATTAATATTTCAAATACAAAAAATAAGTTCTGTTGAATTAATTGAAAGTTTAGAGAATAAAACATTTAATATAACCATATCGATTACGTCTTTCTTTCCACCTCTCTTGCACATACAGTCAATTTAAAGGCAGTTACAATTTCTCTTGTAATTAAGTAATGCTGCTAAAACTCAGATATCACAGCGTTTGAAAACTACAGAAGGAGGAATAGGCATAAATTGACGATGCTACTTTGTGCGGGCTAGAATGCTTCATGTTTTCTCCCAATAACTAACACATATACATAACTCCAGGCATTATGCCATGTTCTATGCAACAATCGCTCATATAGGTACTTTTGATATATTTTCACTAACAAGTGAATGATTTTTCATCTTAGCAAGTTCGTACTTGTACTTGTGAAACTTCTTTTTATCAGTTAAAAGTTATTTGTGATACTTTGTTGACTTCTGAAAGGGTTTAATGTTAATACATGTGAACTTTGAATTCAACACCTCATCATCAGTTATTATCGGTGAAACAAGGCAGCAAAAAAAGGATTATAGAAATCATTCTACAACAGGTAAATCTTACAATTATAATACAGTCCATAAGATTGGCCACCAGAGCAGTACTAAGCGATGTATGTAAATTGGTCTATGAACTATAGAGCTGGATATTACATTTTCTGGTCTTACATTACCGATTAATAAAATTTTGTTATTATCCTTTTAGGTACAAGTAGACAGATATTTAACAGTCACAAAACAATTAATGTTTGTCACGTCGTTAAATTGCACAGAATGGGACGTTGTCACGTTTCAGTCTGTAAAAAACTAATATAACAATAATTGAAGGCTTTGGTGCAAAAACCGGTCTACATTTTTGAAGTTGTGGGAAATCAGCGAAAACCATTAATTTTGTTAGGATTTCGAAAAATACCGAAAACTTATTTATTTTTCTATAGATATTAGGGTTACATATTTACTGTTTACAAGAACTAAGAAGAGGCAATTCAAAAAAATATTTTGAAAATTTGGACTTGTCCCGTTTCTACATCTATGATTAAATTTCAAATAAAAGAATGTATGTTTAGGTTACTAATCACTATTTATTTTTGGAACAGTGCATGCAATGGTTACATAAATGAATTATTAGAATCGTAGACTCTATCCTCGTCATTTTGGTCAGCATCTTGTTCCTCTGGAATATTTGGTTCTCCAAATTATTTTCTGTAATACCACTGATCTGTTACAGGTACATATTTCTGAACAACCGGATTCATCTCTTTGATTTTCTTTTTAGTGATCGGCAGTGGATATATTTGCTGCATTGGAGTAGTAGCTAAAGATATAGCAGCATCATTCCTAATGCCATGAAATTTTGTGAAACATGGAACTGCAGTAATAACACTGCATTCCAGGAAGTGAAATCCGACAACCGGGGGTTGATAATTAATTTAAATAATTCTTACATATTACATATTATATTCAAATTTTATTTCGAATTCAAACATCATCCCAGCGAGTCCCGTCTCTTAGGCGCCGTTTTATTACTTCTGGGAAAAACAGCCTTTGTGTCGTGCATCACGGCCACTAGCTAAAAAACACATGTGTTTTTTAAGGGTTACATTCAGGAATTAATACAGGGCTTTATAGTCTTTATGCTCGAACGCATAGTTGTTCTCTTTCCGATACATTGGCGTATATGGGAAATTTAAGTATAAATACCCGGGTTTTTTGTGGGCAAAAGGATTAACTTTTTCTTCTTCACCGAGTCAAGTTAACAAGAATACGCAAATATCCATGTCCCACTACGGTGACTCCTTTTTCTTTATATTCGTCAAATATAATTAAAAAGAGATATCGCTACCCTTACGGTAGTCGTGTTCTTGTTATATTTTGAGAACGGAAATAAAAGCTATCGACGGAGTAGAGAAATTAGGTTCTATAAACGACGGCTTCTGCATAGGTATCCAGTTGTCCTTAGGACGACCACCTTTTTCTTATATTTTATATATAAATAAAAGGAGATATTAGTCAGGTTGACCAAGCAGATACACGTTGAATAGAACCGGATTTCGCTCCTAGAACTGTTTTGTAAAGTTGTATCTACCGAGCGACTAAAGTATTGGCGTAACTAATACTGGTGATACCTCGCTAGTCTAGTTAAACGCCAGATATTTTATATCTCCGATTCAACATTATAAAATGTTACTAAATGATTAAAAGTGCTACTCTAGGCGACGTTCGTAGTGGATTTCGTCACCCTTCTGGCTGACCCGATGAACTTACGCCCGGTAGACCTTTTGTCAGCGGTATACTTTTCTTTCTGTAAGGTTTCTTTAACGTAGAATTAAAACGATAATCGCACTATTAAAGTAATCAAACTAGTAATTATTATTCAGATATTCCGGGGGAGAATTTAGACAAACATTAATAGGTTACAGGTATCACTTTATTACTTTTATATTCATTAGCGGGAAAATTCGCGTCTGTGTGTTATTGTCATATTTTTGGTATTCATTGGTAAACGTTTATTGTGGGAAAAAATTATAGG